CCTTTTCCTGACAGTTCATTTTCCATCATTTTCAATCTGTAACAATGCATAAAGGGCCCCTGCATTGCATTATAATGCTATAGAAATGTTGATTCCTTTTGGTTTAACAATTTGATATTATTCCAACCCTACATAAAATCTGCCGCTATGTTGATCAATTGTAGAGAATTCTAAAGTGATGTTAGTAATCAATCTCATTTGTTGCCAATGTACAATTTGATCAATATTACTTCAAACATTGTAATTAATTTGACTGGGACCAAGGCTACAATTTTGGGTGCATATTTCTTGATTGACTTGATTCTTTGCAATCATAGCTGAAAGTCTTCTGTTGTTCAGCAGAGTTTTTATATTCTTTCCTAACTAGTGCATAATTAACTTCTACTTGCAGCTGCATTGACCACAGTGTCAGTGTGATACTGATAGATAAAACTCACAGTATGCCCAAACTGTGTGTTCATTGTGTTTCACATTGTACACTTATGCTCACATTGGAAATGGTTAGTTCAAGACAAAAGAGAAATGTCATGTATATTATCATTAGAGTCAGATAAGAATGTAAACTGGTCTTGTTTTTGTGAAAAGTATGTTAGTTTTATTATAGCCATGTGTCAATTATGGTACCATTTATTGACACTCATGTCTTTGAACAAAACATAGCAACGATTGCATGTTACACACTCTAATTATTACATATGAGCATCTAGTCATTGACTTGGTGAAAAGGTAGCTTATAAGTACATATAGTGGGGATAGAAGCTGTAGTAGTTTGTGTGTGTGTACATGTATGCATAGGCTAACATTTTCACAGATACATGTACATGTATGTATGTATATGATGAGGACCATATTGTTATCAGGGTCAACCACTGTGCCTTAGCTTTTCTTGCTACTTGTTGTTCACATTGATCTGAGTACTCTGAAGTATCCACAGACATTTTGCACAAGTAGAAAGAATTATTGTAACAGTTATGTTTGTAGCAGGCACTTATGTATCCAGAGTAACAAGCTCTTGGTCCATATAAGTTAATGTGTGGCAAGTGGGAATGAAGACAATTATAGTATAGCAAGGCACTTGCCTAGGGGGTGTCGCATGGAGATGGATTCATCAAAAGTATGCATAGAATGGTGCATTTATTCACAGTTTCCTAGGAAAAGAATTATGCTCTCTGCCCTTTGTTAATTGAACTTTTACCCTTTGATGTCAAAGTGTTGAAGAGAAATTTAAAAAAAAACAGGTCTAAATCCTTATTGAATGGGCACATTGGCAATGAAACTTAAAGTACAATTAAATGCAAGAGATGGAAAAGTTTAAGCTATTGTGCAGGCATAGATAGATGCACATAATTAGTTTCAAAGCCCGGTGTGTTACGTACTGTATTTTAGAGTTCGACACTTTTGTACATAGCAACATAGTTGGTTACCCGCAATGCAATGAACTGGTAAGTCCAGAAATCGTGCAGGTGTCAGAGTCAAGACTGAAGTTAGTGTAGATGTTTTCTGTAATGTGTACACCACAGTTGTATCACTGATGATGTTTCTTGTATGTGCAAATATGGAGGACTGAGAGGAACATGTCTAGAACACAGTTGTAGGAAAGTAACCCCAGTACAAACAAATGTAGCTATGTCATTTGAGTACTGAAATAAAAGTTGTATAGACCACTGTTTGTCAGTCTGTATAGGTATTGACTTTTTGGATTATATTTCTATTAAGAAGGTGTTAATTTCTTTTAAGGTCTTAATTTGTGATAATGAAATATCTATGGAAAATATTACACATTTCTTCACAATGAAATACGATTCAGATACTAAACTAGTTTCTGAGGGTATTTACATTAAATACATAAATGTGACGATTATAACAAAAATTGATGCAATTATTTTGGCCATTGCCCAATTATGTCAATTTTCATGCAAACGCTCTTGGTCTGCCCCTAATACTTAAATATTACTATATGATGGCATATGAAAATCATTCCTCAGATTTTAACAACGTAGCCATGTGATAAATGAAGAAAGAAGACTTCCTCTAGCTTGGGTACATGACATCCAACTGTGTCATTTGCAAAAAAGGTACAATAGGCTTAGCCTACAGCAATGTATGATGTAGAAATCTAAAGAGGAAGACTTCCCTTTACCTGTATACCTGTCTCAAACAGTTATAGTTTACATTGGGGGTAAGTGCCAGACACAAACGACCATTTCACAGTTTTAGCAGAAGTGTCTATGATACAAATGTATACATGTGTACCTTTATAAGGGAATAGCAGAACTATATACGCGATTGTGCAAATAAACATGTCACTGTAATAATGATACCGACTCCCTTAAATACAGTGCAGGTAGCCGATAGTCAGTGCCAGACCAGAGTACCCCAAGATCTTGTCGGAAGCTTCACTTTCTTGCTTATCAAACTTCAGTTCCAGTTGATAATAAGGGAATCATCATAACATCAGGTGAGTAGAGTGTAAGGGGGTAGTGGATACTTGTTACGTATGCTCATTCTTTGCCTCGTTTCAAATTTTGGATGCTGCAAGTCAATGTGAGGGTGCATTTAAACCTAAAAAGTTACGACGGTGGTTGATGTAAAGTCGTGCTGTTTGTATTTGAACACGTGGAAATCTAGTATCGCATTATTTCTATCCCAATGAAATGGCGATGAGTATGTGGCAATTTTTCGAGTCTTCACTTCGGAAATTTATCGGACGCTGGGGATATGGTAAAATGGATGAGGAAGCTAGTATGTTTCCTGTATTTGTAGTGGAGGTTAGTTTCTGTAGGATCAAGCAGTGAGGAACAAGCAGAAGTAAAAAGTAAAAGGGGGAACAGGAATTTTGCATATGTGATGTGACATGTTGCTAAACCATGCAAATTAGGGAAGGTGTATATAATAATGAAACAATAATTGGCGACGGTATAAGATCGTGGAACACTAGTTGATTAAATTAAAGTATATTTTTAAATATACTTAAATTTAATAAAAGATTATGCTTTTTAAAAAAAGCATAATCAAAGTTAAATGTTGTGCGGCAGAAGCGATGTTGTAATATGAATAGTCAAGACATTTTGTTTGACGAGGGACGGCTTTATAATTCTACAGGAACCTGAAGCACCCTAAGATATTCGACCGTCTTACAGGTCTCCCAACACAGCATCGAGGTGCCCAGAGTAGAGCAAATCTCTGACAACAACCTGGCACAAGTGGAGACAACTGACGAATCATGATCATGAGGACCCCCGCGCTGATGTTAGTGTTGGTACTGTGCACAGCTTCTACAATAGCAGACACAGACAAATGGTACCGGTGTACTTACAAAAATTGGGCTTTGTCTTGTGTAAAAACGAACCTCAGACAAGTTCCCCTTTTGGTTCCCAGTGACACAAGGGATTTATATATTTCTTCTAACTACATAACGACACTTTATAATGACTCGTTTGCTGGTATGGATAGACTCAGAGTCTTGGATGTATCAAGGAATCGCATTACTAACATCGAAGCAGCAACTTTCCGGAACCTGAAAAACCTAACACTGTTGAAACTAGGTGGGAATAGGTTACAGGCATTGGCGTCTAATGTGTTTGAGAACCTGTCCTCCCTGCAAAGGTTAAATTTAGATCAAAACATGTTTACCAGCACGGCAACCATTAGTTTAGCCTTGTTCCCTCTGACTTCTTTGCAGATCTTGAATCTAAATTTGAACAAAATGTCAAACATTCAACTCGAACCAGAGTTTGCACACTTGAAAAAACTAAACACACTGGATCTTGCTGGAAACTCAATTTCATTCCTGAACGCAGAGTCCTTCCGGGTGATAGAGAACCATTCCCTCACTCATCTTAGCTTGAATAGTAACGATCTCACCCACATACCAAACCAGGCATTGATGCCCTTTGCAAGTGTAAAGGAAATAGCTTTCTCTAAAAATGCATTAACAGCAAAACACTTGCTTTCAGTATTCAATAACACCAGAGGGTTAGGCATTACAAACTGGACATTATCTAATAACAACATAACTGAACTGACAAATGTCACATTTTCTCCATTATTTGCTGAAGAAGTCATCTACCTTAGTCTAAGTGGTAACCACATCTCTCAACTGACTGGCTATCTGTTTGCCTTCTTGCCTCATTTGCAGGTTCTTGCTTTAGGACAAAACCCAATTCAAAAGCTATCAGCACGAGCATTTGCTGGTTGTGACAAACTGGAAGAGCTAGCCTTAGACCACTGGGGTTTGCATCAGATTCCGTCAAAATCGTTCGAACCCTTGAAAAATTTGACCAAACTAAACTTGGATTCAAATCTACTTCGGGAAATCCCAGGCAGGGCATTCGTGTCTCTACCAAAATTAAAGACCTTGACAATGCAGGCAAACATGATAGAAACAATAGACAAGGATGCCTTCTATGGTCTACATCATCTCGAGGACTTGAACTTGGGTGCCAACAGTCTACGGTCCATTCCCTCTGATGCATTAGGCGTACTTGGCCCATCATTAAGAAAACTGGACCTTTCGGCAAACCGTCGCTTGAAAACGATTTCACCAAACTCCTTCCACACATTGCACAAACTTACTGACCTAAACCTTCAAAGTTGCTACTTAAAAGATAACGTTATAAGACACAGTGACTTTGCTGGTCTTTATAATCTGCAACGACTTGACCTGGCTGCTAATGAGATTGCCAGAATTGACCCAGATGCTTTTCACGATTTGTTCTCTATTCTAGTACTAAACTTGAACCACAACGTTTTTGGAAGATATGGAAGTCCAAAACGATCTCCTTTTCGAAACCTGTCATCCCTTACCGAACTGCATGTTGATTATCAAAGGTACACAGCAGGGATATTTCCTGATGGGTACCTGAATGGCCTGACGTCTCTCCGGCTGCTCTCACTCACATCACTGAAACTGGTATCATTGGAAAGCAAGACCAACAAAACTTCAATTTTCCAAAATATGACAAATCTTAGATACTTGGGGCTTACCCAGAATATGATAAGCAATCTTACAAGAGATACCTTTGCAGGGTTGACCAATCTCAGGTACCTGTATCTATTTTCTAATTCCATCAGAGCTCTTCCGGAAGGCGTGTTTAGAGATCAAGGCGGGCTACAATATCTAGATCTCAGAAACAATGGAATCGTTACACTTTCTAGTACTGTGTTCATCCCCTTGAAGTCACTAGTTGTACTCAACGTTTACAGCAACAGTTTTGCCTGTACTTGTGACATAGAATGGTTTCACGACTGGATAGTTTCAAGCATGAACACGACTACAGGTGTACAGGGTGTCTATTTTGAAGCCCATACAAACTATACTTGTACAACTCCAGCAAACCTGAGAAACAAACGTCTGATTGACATTAACTTTGACAAACTTGGCTGCAGATCTAAACTCAGCTTTTACGTAGCAATAGGGCTGAGTGTCACGTTTGTCATTTTGTTCGTCACCATCATACTGATGTACCGATATCATTGGTACGGACGATACGCCATGTTCCTACTCCGGGCCAAGTTTAACAAGTATGAAATCATCAGAGAGGAAGAGGAGAACCCCAAGACGTACGACGCCTTTGTGGCACACAACAGTCACGACAGCGCTTGGGTCATCCGTCAGCTCCTTCCACAGTTAGAACGAGGAGATCCTCCAGAGTTTCGTCTCTGTCTGGGCGAACGGGACTTTCAACCAGGAGCCCCTATAGTGGACAACATCGCCGAGTCCATCTACGAAAGCCGCAAAACCATCTGTGTCATCACGCGGAACTTTCTGGAGAGTGACTGGTGCAGGTTTGAGATGCAGATGGCGACGTATCGTCTGTTTGAGGAGCACGTGGACTGTTTGATTGTGGTGTTCTTGGAACAGATTCCAGCTCAGAGACTGGCCAAGTACCACTCCCTGAGGCGGGTGATGTGCAGGAACACCTACCTGGAGTGGCCCGAGGAGCCCGAGGCCAGGGATCTGTTCTGGGAACGACTTCGTGCCGCACTACGAACACACAGGCCTCTCAATCATGAATTCAATGAATAAACGTAAAAGCATGATTACGAGCAACATCTCAATGTAAAGGGAAATATGTAGCTTATGCCACTTTTTTCACTTGTATGATATACATCTTTACCTTTAATACACTAGCTATATCAAGACTTGAGCTGGTTTATCAGCTTTGTATCTACATTTAGAAATGTACATTTAGCACATTTTGCTGTCAATTTGCAAAGACTATGTACTTATGGTATCTAACATGTACTGTCAATATGATATACAGGTACAATTTTTGTTCAGTATCAGTTACATATACATTAACGAGAGTCGACAATTCCAATATCTTGTTCAGTATTCAATATCAAATTGTCAATGGATAAACATGTATAATGTAGAACACATCCATCAATCTGACTCAAAATATAAGGATTACTGACAACTTTAAATGGAGCGAGGGCTGTAAGTGGAATAGTATAAGGACTTTTGAAGACTGTCTCTTGAAAACCATTAAAAAATCTCCAAACCATCAATTATTAGATTACAACTTAAGAGACCTCCTCTAGCTTGGATCATGCCATTCAACTGTGTCATTTGCAAAGAAAAGGGTACAACGAGATTAGCCTCTGAAAGCAATTATCGTGAGTTACGAAAGAGGAAGACTTCCCATTACCTCTTTACCTGTATCGAACCGTTATAGTTTACACTGTTGGTTAGTGCTGCCACAAACGACCCTTTCACAGTTTCAGTATCTATGATACAAAGGTATACCTTTACACTTATAAGGCAAAAGCAGAACTAAATACGTGATTGTGCAAATATTCACGTGACTGTAAGAATAAACCGGCGCAGGTAGCCGATAGTCATTGTCAGACCAGACGACCCCAGGATCTTGACGGACTTCACTTACTTGCTTGTCAAACGTCTCTTCCAGCTGATAATAAAGGAATCATCATAACATCAGGTGAGTAGAGTGTAAGGGGGTAGTAGATACCTGTTACGTATATGCTCATTCTTTGCCTTGTTTGAAATTTATCATGGATGCTGCAAGTCAAAGTGAGGGTGCATTTAAAAACCTCAAGTTACGACGGTCGTTGATGTGAAGTCGTGCTGTTTGTATTAGAATACGGGAGATCTCATCATCATCGTCCGGCTGCGCAGCAATCGACCACTAGTCGTTTCCACAATTGACGATCCGTCGCCAGCAGGTCGGCAACGTTCTAGCACGGGAGATCTAGTATCGTAATAATTTCTATCCCGAAAACAGGATCAATGAGATGGCGATGAGTAAGTGCTAATTTCTCGAGTTTTCACCTCGGAAATTTAAAGGACGTTGGGGGTACATGTTTGGTGAAATAGGAAGCCAGTATGTTACCTGTATTTGTATTGGAGGTTAGTTTCTGTAGAATCAAGTGGAGAGGAAAAAGCAGAAGTAAATTAAAAGGGAAAACAGGAACTATTTGCATAATTATGTGATGTGACATGTGGATACTAGTAATAGATGATAGTATCATATTTTCAATATACAAATGTATGTCACAGGTTGAGGGATTGGCCTTGTCATGAATAAATTATGCAAATTAGGGCATAGACACAGTTCATGAAACAATGATCGGCGAAGGTATAAGATCGTGGAACTCTTCTGGATAGATATAACGTTCAAAGTTGTGCGGCAGCAGAGATGTTTGAAATGTTAATAAAATGAATAGTTTAGACATTTTGACGAGGGACTGCATTTGTAATTCTACAGGAACCTGAAGCACCCTAAGATATTCTAAGGCATTCGACCGTCTTACAGGTCTCCCAACACAGCATCGAGGTGCCCAGAGTAGAGCAAATCTCTGACAACAACCTGGCACAAGTGGAGACAACTGACGAATCATGAGGACCCCCGTGCTGATGTTAGTGTTGGTACTGTGCACAGCTTCTACAATAGCAGACAAATGGTGTTATTACAAAAATTGGGCTTTGTCTTGTGTAAAAACGAACCTCAGACAAGTTCCCCTTTTGGTTCCCAGTGACACAAGGGATTTATATATTTCTTCTAACTACATAACGACACTTTATAATGACTCGTTTGCTGGTATGGATAGACTCAGAGTCTTGGATGTATCAAGGAATCGCATTACTAACATCGAAGCAGCAACTTTCCGGAACCTGAAAAACCTAACACTGTTGAAACTAGGTGGGAATAAGTTAAAGGCATTGGCACCTAAAGTGTTTGAGAACCTGTCCTCCCTGCAAAGGTTAAATTTAGATCGAAACATGTTTAACAGCACGGCAGCCATTAGTTCATCCTTGTTGCCTCTGGTTTCCTTGCAGATTTTGAATCTTAATTTCAACAAAATGTCAAACATTCACCTCGAACCAGAGTTTGCACACTTGAAAAAACTAAACACACTGGATCTAGCTGGTAACTCAATTTCATTTCTGCAGGCAGAGTCCTTCCGGGTGATGGAGAACCATTCCCTCACTCATCTTAGCCTGGCTAGTAACGATCTCACCCACATACCAAACCAGGCACTGATGCCCTTTGCTAGCGTTAAGGAAATAACCTTCTCTACCAATGCATTAACATCAAAACACTTGCTTTCAGTATTCAATAACACTAGGGGGTTAGGAATTACAAACTGGACCTTATCTAATAACAACATAACTGAACTGACAAATGTCACATTCTCTCCATTATTTGCTGAAGAAGTCATCTACATTCAACTAAACAATAACAGCATATCTCAACTGCCAGGCTATCTGTTTGCCTTCCTGCCTCATTTACAGGTTCTTGCTTTAGGACAAAACCCAATTCAAAAGCTATCAGCACGAGCATTTGCTGGTTGTGACAAACTGGAAGAGCTAGCGTTAGACCACTGGGGTTTGCATCAGATTCCGTCAAAATCGTTCGAACCCTTGAAAAATTTGACCAAACTAAACTTGGATTCAAATCTACTTCGGGAAATCCCAGGCAGGGCATTCGTGTCCCTACCAAAATTAAAGACCTTGAGAATGCAGGCAAACATGATAGAAACAATAGACAAGGATGCCTTCTATGGTCTACATCATCTCGAAGACTTGAATTTGGGCGCCAACAGTCTACGGTCCATTCCCTCTGGTGCATTACGCGTAGTTGGCCTATCATTAGGAAAACTGGACCTTTCGGCAAACCGTCGCTTGAAAACGATTTCACCAAACTCCTTTCACACATTGCACAAACTTACTGACCTAAAACTTCAAAGTTGCTACTTGAAAGGCATAAGACACAGTGACTTTGCTGGTCTTTATAACCTGCAACGACTTGACCTGTCTCATAATAAGATTGGTATTGACAGAATTCATCCAGATGCCTTTCACGACTTGTTGTCTATTGAAGTACTTAACTTAAACAACAACGTTCTTGGGAGATATGAAAGTCCATCTCCTTTTCGGAACCTGTCATCTCTTATCGAACTGCATGTTGATTATCAAAGGTACACAGCAGAAATAATTCCTGATGGGTACCTGAATGGTCTGACGTCTCTTCGGCTGCTCTCACTCACATCACTGAAACTGGTATCATTGGAAAGCAAGACCAACAAAACTTCAATTTTCCAAAATATGACAAATCTTAGATACTTGGGGCTCAATCAGAATAGGATAAGCAATCTTACAAGAGATACCTTTGCAGGGTTGACCAATCTCAGGTACCTGTATTTATTTTCCAACTCCATCAAAGCTCTTCCGGAAGGCGTGTTTAGAGATCAAGGCAGACTGCAATATCTAGATCTCAGAAACAATGGAATTGTCACTCTGACTAGGACGGTCTTCAGTCCCTTGAAGTCATTAGTTGTACTCAACGTTTACAGCAACAGTTTTGCCTGTACTTGTGACATAGAATGGTTTCACGACTGGATAGTTTCAAGCATGAACACGACTACAGGTGTACAGGGTGTCTACTTTGAAGCCCATACAAACTACACTTGTACAACTCCAGCAAACCTGAGAAACAAACGTCTGGTTGACATTAACTTTGACAAACTTGGCTGCAGATCTAAACTCAGCTTTTATGTAGCAATAGGGCTGAGTGTCACGTTTGTCATCTTGTTGGTCACCATTATACTGATGTACCGATATCATTGGTACGGACGATACGCCATGTTCCTACTCCGGGCCAAGTTCCACAAGTATGAAGTCATCAGACAAGAAGAGGAGAACCCCAAGACGTACGACGCCTTTGTGGCACACAACAGTCACGACAGCGCCTGGGTCATCCGTCAGCTCCTTCCACAGTTAGAACGAGGAGATCCTCCAGAGTTTCGTCTCTGTCTGGGCGAACGGGACTTTCAACCAGGAGCCCCTATAGTGGACAACATCGCCGAGTCCATCTACGAAAGCCGCAAAACCATCTGTGTCATCACGCGGAACTTTCTGGAGAGTGACTGGTGCAGGTTTGAGATGCAGATGGCGACGTATCGTCTGTTTGAGGAGCACGTGGACTGTTTGATTGTGGTGTTCTTGGAACAGATTCCAGCCCAGAGACTGGCCAAGTACCACTCCCTGAGGCGGGTGATGTGCAGGAACACCTACCTGGAGTGGCCCGAGGAGCCCGAGGCCAGGGATCTGTTCTGGGAACGACTTCGTGTCGCATTACGAACACACAGGCCTCTCAATCATGAATTCAATGAATAAACGTATAAGCACGAGCAACATATCAAATTGAATGTAAAGGGAAATATGTCACTTACGTCACTCAGATATTTTCTTTCACGGCATAATAGACATCTGTATTGTACCTTTCATACACTCGTCATAACAAGACTTGAGCTCTTTTATCAGCTTTGTATCTACATTTAGAAATGTACATTTAGCACATTTTGCTGTTAATTTGCAAAGACTAAGTACTTATGGTAGCTAAATTGTCGATATGATATACGTTTTCCTTCTGCTTCTATTGACGCGGTTGTAGGTACAATTTTGGATCAGTATCAGTTTAATATAAGATACTTTTTATATATTTAGGAGAGTCGACTATTCCAATATCTTGTTCAACATCGGACTGGTTAATTGTAAATGGATATATAGTAATAGGATTAAAATATAAGGATAAGTGACAAACTAAAATGGAGTGAGGGCTCTTTTCATGTGTGGACATGTATGTAAATAGTATAAGAACCTTTATAGAATTTAAATATTGAAACCCATTTTAAAAAAGTCCCATCAATTCGTGAAAGTATCCCATCAATTCTTAAATAACAACTTCAGATACATGATACCGGTAATTGAACCTATGAAGGTCCTTAGTCACGTGTGTTGGAATGGTGCCACTGCAACATTCTGGCGACTTGACAGGGACCTGGCTAGCCTGGGTACCATCCTGGTTAGTCTACATCCGCTCCCACAGTCGGTAGCGTCGACTGTGGGAGCGGACGTAAACTAACCAGGATGGTACCCAGGCTAGGACCTGGCAGGGACGTGCAACAAAATAGGCGAGGATAAGAACAAGCGTTTCCCATACTTTTTGTTGTACAACCGATAGTTGAGCGGTATCCAATGCCACATAGCTATCTTCACATGATAATAATGTTATTTCCTTCAAATGTATACAAACAGGACACCGAATCACGTCACTGTCTTCAGGCCTTGGCTTGTAAAGAAAACTGCTCATGTTGAGTGGTTTCCACAGTTAATTTTTTTACAACATATCAAACTAGTTTACTGATACCCCCCCCCCAAACCTTTCATATAAATATATATAATTCTCCCATCATTCTCTAACTGAAGACCATAGCTCCTTTATCACGCAACCTGGACTCATCAATAAGTTCATGCACGTACATGGATGATGTCACAGGTGACTTCTCCCATTGGTTGGCACGGCCCTTGACCGTGGGCTACATGTCTTCCTGTTACCAGCTTTCACTTTCTATTGCATGAGATTCGACAAGTTTGCAGGACACGTCGTCGATATTTCTGGAGCTGAAGATCCTGCACACTCGACGTTTCGCAGGTAAGTGTCAAATTTGATCTGTCTCCTGTGATGCCAGAACTTCCGGTCATGAAAAGAACTGTTTGATGGGGGCAAGTCATGAAAATCGGTCCAGAAAAATCGAGCAAGAAAATACAAACTAAGATTTTAGCTGCCCACATACCGTGTATGAATTCGTGAAGCCAAGCACTAGCTCTGACACATATAACTATACAAGGTACATTTCTGCTTGGCTGAGGAAAATTTTAATATATAAAGGTTGTACCAGGGTGGTGTACATGTAGTCTAGTATCTAGTCTTATCGCGTTTGGGGCGGGTTTTCCTCGGGGCTGCAGGTGCTCTTCCCCCGCCCTCTTCAGCTAGGATTGCCCGTAGGTAACGACTATTCGTGGTGAGGCAAATCAACTCCCCGGTGTGCGATCTCTGACATCCGAGTCTATTAGCGTAACACTCCTACCGGGCGGTCTGTGGTACTGGGCGTGGGGAAGCACCGTGGGGGAAGCTATTAGAGCCCCGAAGACCCAGCCTGCCTGAACACCCCAACTACTACTAGGTCACCGTGACTAGGTCCCAACCACAATTAGCCTGGCTATGATACATGTACATGGCGCATGCCCTCTATGTTACTTCGGCAGCGCTTCACCCCCACCCCACAACCAGCGCTTCACCCCCACCCCACAACGTGTCGATGCCGAAATCTGACCCCGAGTTCCAGAATGTCGTCATCCTGCTGACATGTGATGATTCAAGGTCCCCTAATGTACTTAGTCACACTTGCTGGAATGGTGAAAACTTTCACTAGTATATGCCTGGTGACTGGGGAGTTTTGGTAAATTAGCCTGGTTACCAAACCTATTTAATATAGCTCCCGAGTCCTACATCCTCTATTTGCGGAGAGGATGTAGGACTCGGGAGCTATAATAGGTTGCCAAGGCTGTTGAGAGTTACAGAAAACTGTAATTACGTAAGCTAACAGTAGTTAGCACTTATCTGTATCTGACCTGTATATTTACATTTCCTCCGTCGACATCTTGTTGTAGATTTTACCGTCACCAAAAGGGACACCAAAGCTGGAAGACGTTGCTTGACGTTCGAATTCTGTATCAACTTATTCTAAACATGTCTTCGTGGCTCAAGATCATCAAAGCCTGTCAGCATAGGTAACTTACTGGACCAGCCTTTTACTGACTATCGACCTATTTAAATTTTGTTGTATTTTTTCATCTGCAAATCTCATTCTTGCATAGATCTTTTTCTCACTTCTTGCAACTACAAGCATCAGATATTTATTTGCTTACATAATCAAACATTAATGCATTCTTTTCTTTATGCATTTTCACTTGTGTCCATTGTAACTGGAACTGGAACTGAAAGTTCCTGTGTCATTGCGCTGTTTCTTGAATGATCTCTATTTAATTTGTTTCCTTTCCCTCTTTTCAAACGCGCTTTGGACGCCGGCCAAAATATTAGCAATGGTTGAACAGGGGCCACGGTCCTGCAATCCCTTGTCTCTAATTAGCAAATTCTTGTCACGCATATTGTACCTCGGGGTTGTTGAGAAACTTGCTATACTCCGAGTGCCGTCAGATTTACCTTTATCTTCATAGCATATTTACTTGTCCCTCGAATATTATCCACCATCACAAGATGCATTGCTAGTGTGCGACATGTCTACGATTTGTAATCATATCATACGTTCCTTTTACAGGATTCGCCATTGATTTCAACTGTACAACGAACACTGCACACACCTTAGGCATCATGAAGGCCGCCAGACTGACTTTGGCGTTAACGCTGATGATCTCTTCAGTTGAGGTCTGCAGGTGTGCTGCTACAAGGGGAGGGCAATGGTGTTCGTACGACGCTTGGATCTTCTCTTGTGTTAAAAGGGACTCAGACATGTTCCTCTATTAGTTCCCAGGCAAACAAAAGAAATGCATCTTTCTACCAATTACATACCGGCACTTTATAATGACTCGTTTGCAGGTATAAATAGTAGTATCCAAGTTTTGGATGTATCGAGGAATCTGATAACTGACATTGAAGAAGCAACTTTCCGGAACCTGAAATCATTAAGAATATTGAATCTAGGAGCGAATAGGCTGACGGTATTACACCCACATGTGTTTAAGAACTTGACCTCCCTGCAATGGTTAGTGTTAGACAAAAACATGTTTACAAGCACAGCAGCCATTAGCTCAGCATTGCTGCCATTGGTATCTTTGACTGTTTTATCATTCAATAAGAACAAACTGACGCATATCAAGCTAGAACCAGAGTTTGCAAAACTTAACAAACTCCGCATTCTGGATCTTGCTGGAATGTCGATCCTATCTCTACAGGCAGATTCCTTCCAGGCAATGAAGAATCATTCCCTCACTCATTTCAGCTTGGGGGGTAACGGTCTAATCGACATACCACAGCAAGCCTTGGAGCCTTTTGCAAGTATCAAACAGCTTGATCTTGGTAGCAACCACCTGACACCAAAAGAATTGACTACTATTTTTAATAACACCAGGGGGTTGGGGATTACGAATTGGACTTTGGCGGTTAATGATTTGACTGAATTGACAAATGTCACATTCTCTCCACTCTTTGATGAGGAAGTTATCTACCTTCGTCTAGACGGTAACAACATACTTCAGCTTACAGACTATCTCTTCACTTACTTGCCTCAACTGCGGTCCCTTTCCTTAAAGAACAACCGGATTGAGAGGTTATCAGAAAGAGTGTTTGTGGGCTGTGACAAACTACAACAGCTGGGATTAAACGGTTTGGCTTTGAATGAAATTCCATCAGAATCATTCGAACCATTGAAAAAATTGACCAAACTAAACTTGGATTCAAATATGATACAGGACGTCAGAGACAGGGCGTTTGTGTCGCTGCCGAAGTTGAAGATCCTGTTGATGCATGCAAACAGGATAGAAATGATTAGGAGAAATGCATTCTATGGTTTGCATTATCTTGAAAACTTGGATTTAGGTGCAAACAACTTAAGGAACATCCCCTCTCGTGCACTGAGAGTAATCGGCCCATCACTAAAGAAGCTGGACCTTTCCGCAAATCGCAACCTGAAAAAGATTTCACCAAGCTCTTTCAACACACTCCATAAACTTCTGGTTTTAAAGCTTCAAAGTTGTCGCTTATCAAGTTTAGGTAACGGTACGTTTGCAGGTCTGTATAACCTTCAACAGCTTGACCTGTCCTATAACAAGATTTCAGCAATTGACCTAGATGCTTTCCATGATTTGTTGTCTGTCACAGCGCTTAATCTTAACGACAACATTCTTAAAAGTCATGACAGTCCATCTCCCTTTCGAAACCTGATTTCTCTTACCGAACTGCATCTGGATTATCAAAAGACCACGGATGAAATATTCCCTGATGGATACTTGGATGGTATGACGTCCCTTCAGTTGCTCTCATTAAAATTAGTGAAACTGATATCATTGGACAGCAAGACTGGTGAAACAAGCATCCTTAAAAACCTTAAAAATCTGAGGTACTTGATGCTCAACCAGAACAAGATTAGTCATCTCACAAGAGATACCTTTGCAGGGTTGACCAACCTTACGTACTTGTACCTCGCTTCTAACTCCATAAGAGCTCTCCCGATAGGTGTATTCAGACATCAAGGTAGACTGCGGTATTTAGAGCTTAGATACAACGGAATTGTTGCCTTGACCCCCATGGTCTTCAGTCCCTTGAAGTCTCTAGTTATGCTCAATGTTTATAGCAACAGTTTTGCCTGTACCTGTGACATAGAATGGTTTCACGACTGGATAGTTTCAAGCATGAATGCTACTACTGGGGTAAAAGGTGTCTATTTTGAAGCCCATACAAACTACACTTGTGCATCTCCAACAAGCTTGCGGAACAAACCTCTGATTTACATTAACTTTGACAAACTTGGCTGCAAGTCCAGATTGAACTTTTACATGGCTATAGGATCGAGCTGTACAATTTTCATCCTGATGATGACCATCACATTGACGTACCGATATCGCTGGTACGGACGTTATGCATGGTTCCTACTCCGGGCCAAGTTTAACAAGTATGAAATCATCAGAGAAGAAGAGGAGAACCCCAAGATGTACGACGCCTTTGTGGCACACAACAGTCACGACAGCGCCTGGGTCATCCGTCAGCTCCTTCCACAGTTAGAACGAGGAGATCCTCCAGAGTTTCGTCTCTGTCTGGGCGAACGGGACTTTCAACCAGGAGCCCCTATAGTGGACAACATCGCCGAGTCCATCTACGAAAGCCGCAAAACCATCTGTGTCATCACGCGGAACTTTCTGGAGAGTGACTGGTGCAGGTTTGAGATGCAGATGGCGACGTATCGTCTGTTTGAGGAGCACGTGGACTGTTTGATTGTGGTGTTCTTGGAACAGATTCCAGCCCAGAGACTGGCCAAGTACCACTCCCTGAGGCGGGTGATGTGCAGGAACACCTACCTGGAGTGGCCCGAGGAGCCCGAGGCCAGGGATCTGTTCTGGGAACGACTTCGTGCCGCACTACGAACACACAGGCCACTGGATCACGAAGTTAATGCTTAAAGATTATGATTTAAACAATGAAATGTCAATGTACAAGATAAGGAGACAGAATAATTCTTTATCTCTGTCGGTTATCCAATTGCTAATGAATCTGTTGTTGGCTATTTACATGTTGACCTTTGCCACTTGTTGAATCATCAATACAATGTGTACAACTCCCTTAGGAAATCATGAAAAAAATTGTGAATACAAGCCCAGAATACAAAGTGTAATCAGCGGCAAGGACAAGGCTGAAAGCACTTACTCTAGAATGTACATAATCAACAAATTTGTAGCAATGTTTGTCATTAGAATTACACAATCATGTATTTGCTGTTAATCATGTATCTACATTGAGCAACTTCGGAATTACTTTGTCGTCAACTTTCAACGGTTAGAAAAGTATTGTCAATAATGGCAATATCTTTAATACAAATTCATCTGTATCATTCGTGGTGGTAACTAACATTACTGTTGTATGTACATGTATCAACACAAAGTCAGTCACTGTGGAGTTCTTATGAATTTCCAACAGGCAATACAGATGAGGTTTTTTTTAACACAATTTATTAATTTAACAAAGCTGTACAGAACTGCATATATGCACAATCTTATCAGTATAGGTATCAATTACTTTGTATACACATTATCAGTACACTCTCCATTCTCTGACTATATTACATGTAATAGTCAATCTATGGATTCTATACAGGTGCACAGTACCAATGCTTTTAGACCTATACTCAAATCATGAGCAAATTGTACTAACAATGGTCAATATTGTCATACATAGCTACTCAGTAGGTTTAATGGAGCAAATTAGAAAGTAAAAAAAAAGTGCTGTAATTGACAATTCACAAAGTAATCTTCTAGTTTAAGTGTGCTGACAATAGAATTAGACAATAGATTAAACAATATATATATATAAAAACATGGACCCATGTGTTATTGACCAGTAGTGTCTGCCTGCCGTTTTCTTCTCTGTCTCTGTTCTGCCATCTTCAGTTGGAACTCCTTAGAGTCCTCCCACGGGCGTGGTCCCCTGATGTTCTCCCAGTCAGACACGTCCACATCCTTCTGAACTTTCTACAAGATTTAACAGGGAAAGACTGGTTGAGGATATAGGGGCAGTGGGTTGGTAATCCACTGTGTCTTGGGCACTATGTCTTCCACCTTTTACCTCCCCAAACAAAGTCAGGTGCACATTTTGCACCTGCCTGCAGTGAGGAAAGTCATATTACAAGTGCCTTTCCCATGGACACTTTCAGTCAAAGACTGCAGACAGGCAATTTGTATGTTCATACACCTTGAAGGCAGCAACTTTTCAGTTGGGATTTTTTTTCCAAACAAGTCTAAATCTGAATTCTAATTGAATGCTAGTTGCCATTTACATGTACAAGCTGTTCCATACAAGTGCAAAACATATCTTTGACAAGCCAAGATCATGGCAGTGTTTCCTCTAATCTCTACCTCAAATTGGTTCTCCAGAGTGACTGGCTCTTCCTTCTTCTTCCACCCAAACTTCTCCTCTAGGTTTTTGTCAATCTGAAACATGAAAAAGTCACAGCATTAGAGAACTCAAAGTATACAAGTTTTTGTTCACATCATATACTGTTATTATACATGCAAATTATTCAAAGACATGTGCAAACCAAATCATGCAACTGTCATTCATTCACTGGCCCTGACGTCATAGCTATCATTTTTATGGTATGGTAGCAGTTTCAGATACAGTACATGTAAGCTGGACAGAAGGTTATGATTATAACCTTAACATTGTATCCCTCAGATTACTTACTCTTCTCTTCCTGAACTGTACATCATATCGTAAGGAAGAAAATCTTTCCAGTCCGTATGACCCTCCCACCACCATGATCTGTAAAAGAAACAAATCATTAATGTTACTCACTCTAACTCGACTTCAATTAGCAGTAGTTTATTTTAAGTTACATCAGTATACTCAGATACTGACACTAGTAACAGTAAGTTAACTAAAATTCTTGAGTATAAAACAAACTTGATATTTTGCTATGTATCTTTAATTTCTTTTTGTAGTGCTACTAAAGAATGTTCTTGCCACATATTCACTCAATGTATATTAGTTGCCAAATTCATTCATTCATATTAGTTGCCAAAACAACAAATTCATTCAAATACACATGTATAATCAATCATATACACACACTTGAAAGTGTTTTGTTATATCATGAGAAGATAAAAATGTCAGTCTCCCCAAATCTCGGGAGTTAGAATCTATTCAGTGAAATAAACTTTCTTATTGACCAATTAAAAGCTCCCTACTTACGATCATCGGCAGTCCGACTTTGAGGAAGGCCCTGGTTCCCGAGGAGAGGGTTTTCCACTTCGCTGTCAGCTGGGACAGGAGCGCTGGAGAGGTCACCATTTTGTACTGGTACATGACCATTCAGGAAGGGGGAACTACACTGCAATTCCTTTATAATCTATTAATCGTACCTTCATACAAAAACAAAATATCTACATTTATAATAAGATATATATGATACATTAATACATTTGTATCAATTTGCTGAACAATTGAAATGTTGGGCATTTTAGTGTAAGCGTTATTTTTAAACACCCCTATTTTCTCTATAATACTGTAATCCAACATGGCGGCGCCCTTGAGGTGTGCAGTGCGAGTCTATTTCATTGTATAAAGGTACGTTTTTTGGTCATAAGTGGTCATTTCCTTACCCTAGTACCAGAGGTTTCCTATTACACTTTCCTTAGATTGTAGTAATGCTTTGAAATTGCAGTCAACTTTCTAATGCATCGAGGAAAGGCCCAAAATGTCGGCTCGTACGCAAGTGTCATGGAGGGGGAGGGGGGCGTTTCGGGTCAAACTCAAAGCAACCCGTGTTTATGAACGTGAATAATCGCCATGCTCATGATATTAACATGTTTGATTATCAACACATCATTGCCTTTAAATTTTAGTAAAGCTGAGACTTTCTGTACCATTGTAATTATGAAAAAGAGAAATCATAAAATCGTAGTATTAGAG